TCCCCCCAGGCTAAGGGATGGAACATCTGGACTATCCTTTTGGGGGGCAACATCAATAGCCACTCGGTCTTGTCTGTATTGAGTGCCAGCTTGTTTACTCCCATCCAGACCCTGACAGCCTCCAGGCACTGGCACATCACTTCTACCGCTTTGCTGAGTTGGCACGGGGTGGACAGATACAACTGGGTATCGTCCGCATATTGATGGTATTTAATCCCGTATATGGTTCTCATTTAATACACAGAAAAGGCAGGAATTCTTTCATAACTATTACAGTAAATCTACTTATCTAAATTTCTCCTTGAATGCCTGTTTGTTTTCTTGTAGAAACCTGATAGTGAACTCATATAGTAAATTGGCAATAAATTATATCGCACATTTTACAAAAAATAAAACTAGAAAAGGTTTTAGTAATTTTTTTTAGTAAAAATACTAAAGGTTTAGTAAAAAATACTAAATAGTTCTATCTCCTCAAAACCTTTTTGTCCAGTAACTGAGTAACTGAGTATTATCCAGAAATAATGTTATGTTGGAAACCAACTACAAATTAAGGGCCAATTTAATAATATAAATTTAAGGGTGTCTGATGCCACCTGTAATATGTATTTATAGTCAATTCTTAATAACTTGTTAAACTAGGATAGGAAAGATTTTTATGTTCTAACTTAGCAAGTTCAAATCTTTTAACATTCTTAAAAAAGAACCCTCCAGATAGTTGAAATCCAAAAGTCCTAACCAGCATGATCACCATTCAGATATCTTTAGAGTTACAAACCAAAACATCTGAAGGATGCCAACTTATCTACTGCTGCTCTAAAGTTTAGTTGCATGCAAGGCACTGTCAGATCCACCAGCTTCAGCTTGGTGCCTTGCCAGCATTCTGCCAACAATTGGGAAAGGGACAGGGAACAAATTGGCAATAAAGCTATATACCTTAATGATGGGAAACTGGAAGGGGAGATTGACAGTTGAGGAAGAACAGAGTATTTTGGAATCCAGATTGTGATAGCATGTTGGCATCTTCAATGCAGTTTACCATGACAATAGAATTTCACCAACCTAAACAATCTCAGTGTTTCCCAAAATATCTCTGTGATGCCAGATTGGTTACTTCCCATGGGGGAAGAAGGGCTAAAAGGAACCAAGGGGTTAGTCCTGTATTGGTGCACAGGAACTTTAGATTCCACTTGACTCTACTGCAATCACCATCTCTTAGTAAAAGTTCCTTTTCACTTCAAGCAAATGGAGTTGAGAGTTTTACTTCCCTAGGCAATCAGACTGGGGCAGGTCCCACAGGTTCTTGGAATTTATTCCTACTATAAAATATTTATAAAGTATTTGAATTCAGCTCTCCAAAAATCTGAGGCAGCATAATCCAAAGCAGCACTGAAAGCAATAACATATTCATATATACTTCCACAAGAAAAAATGCTATTTCCTGCTGTTCTCTATAAAGAAATCTCCAGCCCTGAGCAACAAAGCCAAACCTCCATTTTCCAGGCTCCAGATGTAGGTAGGATTCATACCAATCACAACATCTATTTTCTCAGGCTTGCATGGTACAGTGAATTCCTTGGCCCCAATGTGGACAAAAATAAGTTCTGAAAGAAATGAAAGTGAGGTAGAGTCCTAAGAGAGTAGGATGACAAGGTTCTTCAGGTCTCTTAATGTATAATTCTAAATAATACCTATATTTATGACTAGATCAGTTGGACAGAACATGACCCATGACTAGAGATTTAAGACTTTAATATCCAGGGGTTACACATGTGGAAAAGCTAAATACTCCCATCTATTTTTAGAGATCTCAAAGTCTTCCTGGAAAAGTACAATTCAACTTTATTAATTTTTTTACCTGTCTCTTTCTCTTCAATAGGTGCTTGCCCTGAAAAAGTTTCATTATCAGACTTGTACAAATCAAGAAAGAGTGTGTGGCCTGAAAAACAAGGTAAAAACCTCAGCAAGCTGCTATGGCTGGAAATTATTCTACATTCAAAGTAAATACTTTTCTTTCAATGTTTACAAAACTGCCTTTTCCAGTATAATGCTACACTGCAACTCCTGAACCCTAGCTCACACCTACCAACAAAAAGTAAGGTAAAAGTAAATCAGAATATCATATCAGATCTTTGGATCACAACCTGATTTTATAAGGATTTCTCACTCCCAGTTTGATAACAACCAATATAATATATCCATTACAGTTGGCCTTGTTCTAATACAGTGAGCCACAAATCAGGATTTACAGCTAGTTGAACTCACCAGTTTTCTCATAATCACTGGAGATCAGGTGGCCAAATCACAATCAGTGCACTTACTATACTGCTTCAACTATTGCCTTGCTGCATTTACCTTCAATCCATTGCTAGCAAAGTTACATCAGTGACTGAAAAGTGGCTCACTGAAACTAACAGCAATGCATACTATAAGTAGCAATGTGAGTATTAAGAAAACTGAGAGTAAGGAACAGATCTAAAATATAGTTACTGAGTTCTCAGGTGTTGTCAAGTATAACTGTGATCTCATAACCAATCTTTTATCATGGCCTTCCGAAAGGCTATCAAAACCTGGCTATTCCGGCAGGCCTGGGGCTGTTGACCTCATGACTGAGGTCCAGCCCCGACCAGATTGGGTGCATGATGTGTTGTAACGTTACAATGATGTGGTTTTAATTTGTTTCCTCTGTTTTTTTTAATTCTTTTTTAAAATTTACTTTCTGTAAGCCGCCCGGAGTCCTTCGGGATTGGGCGGCCTATAAATCTATTAAATACAATACAAATACAAATCCATCTCCCCATGTAAATGGGAGTATGTAAAGTGTGATTTCTTTGTATTACGAATCTATCCATCCCAAGTTATTAATATTCAAATATCACTTTATGAGAATTTTCTTGACTAGGAAGCTTGTGCTTATAATTTTCACTATTAGGGCATAGGGAACCTAAAGTAACTCAACAAATATGTAGTTTGGGAGATTTTTTGTACACAATTTAATATGTCTTTTAAAACAGAAGAGATGGCAACACAACTATAATCATTATTTGCCAAGAAATATGAACTCCCATGCTATTAAAACTGAAAATGTAGAGATGGGTATTTGTATAACTGGATAGCTTTCAAATGTCTAAATGTTTACTGAATGGACTACAAATATATTGTACTTATAGAAAGTCTGTATGTTATGTCTTAGAGCGCTTGCTCAAAATATGACTCAAGTGTTTATTTTAATAAATGAGCAGCATTCTTCTATTAGCTCTACCTCCTATTTACTCTTCTCACCTCCCACATCTCTCCTTCCATTTGCCCTTGCCTTCACTTGATGTGTTTTAAGCTTCTAAATAAAATGAATCGTCCACATCTGTGATTTAGGACTTCACCCAAACTTAAGTTTTTCATGAAATAACACAGGCAGCCATTTTTCCTGAGGGCCAAGATGAGTGTTGGTCTATTTCATCTGCTAATGGCCAAGTCAAATCGTTTTTTGAATGTTCCCAACAGAACTACATTACTGATAAATATTGCTCATCAGTATGAAGGTGCCATCATGGGAAAAGCTGCACCTTCAATCTTTTGCCCCTAGAGCTACAACACGATAGCCCTATATAGTTCCATCTATTAAAGGCTTGTCTTATTTAAGGCATTCTACATCCCCTCGGAATCCCAGCCTCCAAGCAATGGGAACCAGAATAACAGAGTTGGAAGGGACTTTATAGGTCATGTAGTCCAACCCCCCCCCCACCCCGCCAAAGCAGGAGACCCTACACAATTTATGACAAATAGCAGTCCAGTCTCTTCTTGAAAGCTTCAAATGGTGAAGCTCCCACCCTTCTAGGACCGGCCACCTCACTGCAGTCCATCTCCATACCAGGTCTTTCCCAAAGAAAGAGGATTATGACACCCAAAGCAACTCCAACCCTTCGACCTGACATGGACATGTAGCCCGACTCGAGGATAATTTGCTCCGCGCCGGAGGGCGTTCCCACTCTATCACCATGGTAACGAGAGGGAGGAAAGGCATTTTACGCATCCTCCTTAGTTACCCCCTCAAAGCCCTCTGTGACTCCGCGACCGCTTACATGCCCCGCCCCTCCTTTGGAAGCGTCGGCTACGTCACCAGCCCCCTCTCCTCCTGGTCGCCGGTGATTGCGTAAGCTGCCTACGTCATCAGAACGCGAGTCTTGGAAACCGAACCTTGGCGTAGTGTTGCTCATTTGTTTACGAAATGGGGTCCTGAGCCGTGCGGGCTGCGAAACTTGGTGGGCGGGAGGAGTAAGGAAGAGGGCGGCGAAATTTATTGCGCGGGAACGCGAAGACGCTCTCCCCCCCCCCGCCTTTTTCTTGAGTTTGGTGCCGGAGCTTTTCTAGGAGAAGAGCTATGAAGCCCCCATCGAGGCTGCGATCGGCGCCCGCCCGCTTCCGCCTGGACCCCGCAATCCGGGTTTGGACGGATCGAGAAAAGCGGCGTCTTCTCCAGGCTTTGCGAGCTCAAGCCCAGACTGCGGGCCCGCTGCGACCGGGACAGCTGAAGAAATACTTGCCTTCCAGAAATGAAGATGAAGTGAGTATATTATAGGCGGAGTCTGTGGGTTGGGATCACTTAAAATACTTCTTTCTAAAACGAAACAGGAAGATCTGAAGGATTTGTGGCAACAGAGGAACTGCTAGTCTATTTAGACTGCGATAAGATCACACGAAGTACACAGGATACACATATAAAACATACCTAACAGTACAGCTGAAACAATCAACAGGTCATGCTATACATCTATTTCTTTGCCGTATTATACTTGCTTTTATACTACGATCTATAATTAGTTACTGTTGAACCGTTTTCGGTTATCTTAGTCACTATTTAATCTGGACATTCATATCTTTCATTTTAACATGATCCATTTTGAGTTTCAACTGCCCAAATACGAGCTTAATAATACCAATAATCTACCTTCAAGATGAAAATATAATATATTTCTAATTGTGAAGTGGGTTTGAAAGTGACAGGCGAGTGCCTTAGAGTGATGCAAACAGGACATTTAAAGATGGAATGGAAGAACACCCCCCCCCCAAGCTTTTGAAAACAAGGAGAGAGAAGGACTAATTACAAACCCTTGTCTCTATTATAAAAGAATGTGGAACATACACTAAGAATCTATCTTGCATTGTGGTCAACTGAGTGTGTAGTTTTTGAATGGTAAAACATAAGGATTTTCCTCTTGAACTGTAAAAGAAGCCTACATGTGAAACAGCAATACTTTCTTATGTCTAAGAAATGAAACCACTATGAATAAGTTTTCCCATGTTTAAGAATTCATCATCAAGCCAAATTTAAATCAAAGCTAAAGTATGTTAATAGAAAAATGTTTAACTTCCTATTTGTGTGTATTTTTCTTACATGCACTTTCATCCAGGCTTTCTATCAAAGAGGTCAAATAGCATACATGGAGTCTTCCCATAATTTAATCCTCAAAATTACAATTCTGGGATATGATTTGGGACTAATTATTTCTCAGTTCCAAAATACCCATGAAATGGGTTCCGTGAGATTTAAAAAAAAAGGTGGAAAGGGTACTCGAATACAAGCAGCTTTCTACTAATAAAGTTTTGTCTCTTAATAAGGTGTTCCAGTTTGTTTAACTAGCAGGTTACATAGATTAAAACAGTTTGAAAATATCTGGATCAGATTCTCCTGAGTGTTACACTTAGCAATAAGACTTAGACATATGTGACTTCATAGTACTTTACGGCCCTCTCTAAGCAGTTTACAGAGTCAGCGTATTGCCCCCAACAATCTGGGTCCCCATTTTACCGACCTCAGAAGGATGGAAGGCTGCATCAACCTTCAGCCAGTCAGGATTGAACTCCTTGCAGTGGGCAGAATTTGCCTGCAATCCTGCATTCTAAACACTATGCCATCACAGCTCTTAGGCTTCACTTTACACAGTGTTTGTGGCTAAAGAATTTTCATTAATGGATGACTTTAGTTCTCCATTTCTGAAAATGTAAAGTTCAGTAGATGTTTCAACAGTTGGGGGCTTTCATGAAGTGGGCTGGATATAACTATTCCTATGACTGACAAAGCTGAAAGTTATAGAAAACAAAATAATTCTACTTTCATTGTAATGTTTCTCCCCTTTGCACCAGGAATAAACTGCAGTTTTTTCTGAAAATAACCATTTTCAGTGCTATTTTAAGAATAGAATGTGCCTTCTAAACATTCATGTGTGATATTTTGCAGATCTTAGCATTTGTAGACCTGCTGAAAGAACGTGTGGCAAGGGAAGCAGTCAAGGCACGGTATCGATATCGCCAGTGCAAAGAGAAGCATGCCCCAGTTCCAGCACCTATAGAGGTCTGAAATTATTAAAAGTATGGTTTCAAAAATAAGACAAGTAGGTAAAAGATACTCATTTATTGTGTCCTACTCTCTATTCCAGGTATGGATTCGTTTAGCTAAGAAGTTAACGGGTTGCCTTGAGGATGCAGTAACAGCTGCTTTTTCCCAGGTAACATTGATATCCTCCCCATGACATAACATAAGATAAATATTTCTATGAATATAATAATTTCAGAGATTTCTAAGTTTGGTTATGCAAATGTTCTCTTGAAACAAGCAGGTCTACCATTGGTAACTACAGTTATTCAATCCTTTGATTTTCATCTTTCCAAGCAAAGATGAAGTAGTCGAAAATATACAGAGAATTTCTGTTTTCTAGCACTTTAGTTATTGGATATTTTTTCTTCTGATTATCTTACTTAGGTTTTAACAATTGCATCTGCAGAGCCACTCTCTTTGCTTCATTCTGTGCCACCAAAGCCTGTAGAAGTAAATACTACTCAATGCATGGCCCCAGCTGTTCCTAGCAAGAATATGAAATCCAATAAAGAATCTGAAGAAGCAACTACATCATCAGATGTAGAACAGTTCACCCCTGCAGAAAATGGTGAATTTCATGTGGACTTTGAAAAGATATACAAGTATCTTTCAGTCATCTCACGGGGATCTAAAGCACCAGAACTACCACCTGGTGGTAAGTCAGGATTTAGACCAAGGTGAAAAGATAAGATGAATTATTCCTGCATCTGGAGTCATATCTATTTATTTTTTTGTGCAGTAATTGTTTTATTTACGCTATCTTTAAATCTTAGTTGCTCTTACATCTACTTTTTAATATTGTGTTGTTCTTTATAATAAATTTCATGTTTGTAAACTGCTCCAGGTTCTTATTGAAGGGAAGACTCTTAAATTGCATAAAAGCTGCAGGGAATGAAAAAGCCCTAGAACTGGAAACAACATATTGAACGTCTCCAAGGTTTTCAGTACATTTGAAAGCCTGTTTACCAATAAAGGAGAATATTTGTAGCTCAGGCTTGAAATCGTGGATCTTTAGTGATCTCTGAGCTTGGTAGTTTTTAATCTAGACTTTCATCACCCAAACTAGGTAAGATCATTAGTGCTTGCCCTGTCAGTGTTAATGGGAGTGGTTCTGGAGGTTCTGCTGTTCCCAGTGGCATTTGATTGGACTGTTTACGGATATCTTATTTGGCACTTCTTAATTACGGCAGTAGAAACTTCAAGATAATATACATTAACATTGACAAGGGAAATATTAGCACTGATGATGTCACCTAATTTGGGTAATGAAATATCTGCAGAAAAATTACCACACTGAGAACACCAAGGATCCCCAAAGCTTATTTATTCCAAGTGTGACTGGGTGAGAGATATGATATCTTTTTAATTGCAATATTGATGTGTAAAACCTATAAAATGAGCAATATTAACAGTGAAGGAAGCAAGAATATGGCAGTTGGATAAGCATTTGAGATTTTGGTTGTGTTGTTGGTGTGAATTATACATATATAAAAATTTACAAACTCTACTAGTTATTTCATTTTACAATTTCAAACTTTCACTAGGAATCAGTAGAAATTCAAAATAAAGTAGTTCCCTAGTTTCCCAGTTGTAGAGATATAAAAAAAAGTCCATAAAGGCTCCACCTGCAATGCATTCTACAGAAAAATTACCCATTATAAACCATAGTAAACAAAAGAGCAGTTATGAAACATATAGTCTGTACTGCAATGTTTTAAGATAATTTCCCATTCAATATTCTTGGGCCAGCTCTGTGGGCCACCTACTTTTGCACTTTTAGGATGATAAATGAAGGAAAGGCTTGTTTAAAGTTCCAATTATTCCTCATCAGCTCAAAATAAAACATGTGCTTGTTTATTAGCAATGTTTATGGAACAATGGTTGAGATTTTAGAGTAAGGAAAATTTTGAAATGCAAATTTCTCCATGTGAAAATAAGAGTGAAAGTGAGCTAAGAGAATTTTCTACATATATAAGTAGGGAAATTATAACTGTTATTGTAACGGCCACAGTTTTAATTTAGCTTTTCATTAAAAAAACATGTTAGAAGTTGCCATAAGTCTAAGACTTGGAGATAATTAAAATTCAAATAAATTGATGCATGAAAGTGAATAATGACAATTATTTTGCTAGCCCTTTTGGGGAAAAGTATAGGAGAAAAAACTTGTAAAAATGTCAATTAGAAAATAAAATACAGCATGAATTAGCTCCCAGTCACTGCTTACATTTTGCTTCCTTATTGCTTTCTGCAGAGTCAGCTGTTCTACTAGATCTGCTTTTGTCATTACCAGAAGAACTGAGCCAACTGGATTATAAGAAACTTAAGGGGCACATGTACAAATGCTATATTGATTTAAGTGCACACTATAAGAATGAAAAAAGTACAAGTAAAGCAAAGATCAGCCCACTTGCAAACAATAAGGAAGATCTTCCTGAAACATTTTATAACGTGCCATCAGCCAGAAATAACTTTTTACAAGAGCAAGAGGATACTAGCTCTGGTGCTTCTTCTACAAGTGGCACAGCATCAACATCTTCCACGGATTGGAAGACGCTGGGTATTTGCCCACTTAATTCATTTTGGTTTCCTTTGGATATTCTAGCACAAAAAAAAGAGATTTTGGAGTGAAGACTTTTTGTTATGTCATGAATGTTGTGTCTTGGTATCTATAAGAGTGGAAAAACAACTGTCATATTTTGGCCAAGCATGGTCCCTTAATTTGTTTCAGTATTTAACACTTGGCTTATGAATATGTCTACTTTGTATTTTTAAATTAATGATATATGTGACTAGAATTTTTCTTCCAAAAATCCCGAAGTTTACTGCTTATTCCTGGGAAATCAGTCTCATCTTAGAAAGTTTGTGCTTACATAATTAATGTTCTGAGTATGCATGTCTGTTGTCAGGATATGGATTATTCCAGATGTATCAAATGCAATCAATATTATTAAAGTATTTCTGCAGTATAATAGAGCTGAAATGTTTTTAGTGTTATGAAAAAGATTGTACAGTCCTTTATGTATAATTGGCCACGTTTCTTTAATTCAAGATCACTTAATCAGGATTAATCACTTCTGTGAGCTGATGGTGAGGCAAAGCTACGATTAAATTTTTGGTTTCTTATTTCATGCCATCACTTCATAAAAATCAGATAATTCCAAATTGAGTGAAAACTTCAAAATCTGATCTGATGTTTGCAGTATGGTCAACCTGCAGTAGCTTGATTGGTCTGCAGATCATAGATAGGAAATAATTAACATATGTGTAGCTCTGTAATACTTTCAGTACAATATAAAAGCAATATTTTTATTTATTTACTTGTATCCTGCCTTATTTTACAAATGACTCAAGGCACCAATCATACCTAATACTCCTTCTTCCTCCTATTTTCTTCACAACAACAACCCTGTAAGGCGGGTTGGCCTGAGAGAGAATGATTGAGAGTGAAAGTCACCCAGCTGGCTTTCATGGCTCAGATAGGACTAGAATTCACAATCTCCTGTTTTCTAGCCTGGTGCCATAACTGCTAGACCATAGCATTAAATTATATTCTTCAATAGTTAACAGAAAATTTCACTTAGCATTGCTTGCTGTTCATGTAGAAGAGAGTCCATTTTAACAAGTACCGTGTTTCCCCGAAAATAAGACAAGGTCTTATTTTCTTTTGACACCCCCTTCCCCCCAAAAAAGTGCTTGGCCTTGAATGATTTTGTTTCAAATTCTAAGGGAACAAATTCTATTCTTGAAATTGTAATGTATACAGAAAATATCCGTAGGCCCTAGGATGTGATGCAGATTACTCTTACCTGGTTGGCTTTTAAACTTGAGAAGCTATACTGCATACAATACTGTATAGTACAAAGAAAATGAAAGTGTCTCTTTTCAATTAAAAAATTGAAATTAAATTCAATTAAAAACCTTTCTCAAAATTGGTACATTAAGAGAAGCAAAATGGTCCAGGGCATAGAATTATCAATCATACATTTATAACAATCATTAAGTAAACTGTCATTTGGTTTATTAAGTAATATAAGTCCTTAAAGTTTTATTCAGTAATATCAAATACTCACTATACACATGGTGTAAGTGCTATTAGAAGTAAATAGCCTAGCAAAATTTGACTATTCAGTCAAGGTGGCTTCACGTAATTGAATTTAAGATCTGTCAGTGCAAACTCAGAAGCAGAATGATTTGGGTTAAAACTTCAGTGTTCATTTTAGGCAGATGGACTGTTCATGTTTATAAGAGAACAATATCTCATAATTCTTCTCTTCTTCACAATGCTTGAATGCTTTATAGAAATATTGAATTTGTAGAAGCAGCTGTTCCAAAAGTAAATTAATTAATAATATGGTACCAAGGATTCTCAACCTATAAATGTTCCTTTAACTTTTTCATTTTCCTTATCAGCGTGAATATAGGAATGCAAAGAGGCCTAAAAAGTAAAAGCAAAGAAAGTCAGACTCATCACCTTATACTGTTCAGCACCTTATACTGAGATCTACTTCGATCTGTTAAACCTTTTTTTAAAGTAATAAAGTTGTGGCTTGCAATTTATTAAAAATGATGAGGGCAAATGGAAAATACCTTTTGCAAAAACAGAACTACAAACCAAAAATATTTGTTCAAGAGTTTTGGACTTTTCTACCCAGAAACCTCAGTAATGCCACTCATCAGTCAAGGGCCTTGCTCTAGTCTACACTAATTCTCACCCACCCACCCCCAAGTCTCCAGTCTGTATAGGAATATATTGTCTCCAAATTGTACTGCTCTAGAATAGCCTAAGGACAAATTACCTGATTTAAAAATTGGTCTCTCTTCAGCTCCTTGTAAAATTGCAGTACACATGGATTAGCTCTGACTAACTTGGCTTCAAAATCCAAAACTCGAAGACTTGCCAGACTACGAGCTCGAGAAAGTGCTACATAAGCCTGTCCACTTTCAAAGACGCGGGCTAGAGAAACCTCGGCACAGTCTAAAGACATACCCTAGAAAAAGAAATAAGCAAAGATTGAAAGTCATTAGTAGACAAGACTGAGCTAGCAACACCAACAATTAAATGTATATTGAAGTATGTACATAAGTCATCTGCTAGGATGTATATCCCAGGTTTAATCTTTGGAATAATAATGGAAAAATATTCAGTAAATAGAATTACAACTATGAGCTTGCTGTATTCTGACTGCAGCATAATTATAGTAATTTTTTTAATGTTTGTATCCTCAAGATCTTGACATTTCCAGCTCCACTTGTTCTTATCATGTAGCTTAAATTATTTAGTTCCAGTTCTAAAGTAATTCTGCCTACACAAGTTTTGCTACACTGTCTTAACATAACTTCTACAGAGTAATTGCTGACATGATCAGAAGCTGAGTCTACTCAGCTTCTAATACTACTGCATGTTGATGGCTGCTGCCACCAACATGCATTTCCTCCAATAAAGAGCTCCCTTGCATGGCCCTTTTTTGCTTTTTTGCAGCAGAAGAGACAAGACAATCTGGCTTCTACAGATAAATTTACTGTCTTGGTGCTTTCTAAAGTACTTGTCAGGTTTTATGCAGGCTTCTTATTAGCATGAGTAGCACTCGACATTAAAAATAGCAGGTCTTCCTGTCCAGAAGTTCATCTTAAATCAGGGGGGGGGGGAAATCTGGATTCTTCAAGCTACATCTTTGCTTGTTCTGTTAACTTCCAATATGTTACAGATTTTCTGCTGCTCTGACCAACATATTTTTGTAGTTATACTGATAGCACTATTTTGTCTACCCTTTTCTGCTTCATTGGCATTCATAGGCTACTTCCAGAAGTTGATGGCCATGAAGACACAATTGGATTAATCCTGCAGGCACTGCCATTCCTTGCAAGATTACCTGAGGATGTTCTCAATCGCTTTTTCTCCCTTTAGTTTACCGTCCTCCTCCACGAATGTGATCTGTCATCCAGGCTATTTTGGGATATATATTTAGTGGTCTTTTAATTGGACAGTTTGACAGAAGGCTAATTATGCCATTCTGAGTACCTGCCTACACTCACCTAACCCTGTCCTAACCCACATTAGCAAAAGCCATTAGTTATTTTCCAGCTGGCAAGCAATGCTTGATAGGAAGGGAAGCCAAAAAAAGAGAAACCAAGGGAATCCACCAATTTCTTTTCTTGCTTTGTCCCAGATAAAAACGAAAAAGGAGGACACCCTTCATCAACTTAATTACTGTGTAGCAGTATATATCCTTATAAATTGGGGCAGCAAATTTTAGGCCAGTGTACTTTTCTGCTGACCCCAGAATTAGGGGATAGAACTTTAAATGGTATAATGGGATTACCAGATTAGGACTGCAAACACCCAAATAACTGATTGCTCTCTGAACTTGTTGTTTCTCACAGATGATTACCTAACCAGGTAACATTAGTTCTGATGTGTGGAGGCTACTACCATACCTACGTACCATAATGGTGATCGCATGACTGAGGAATGCCGCAGTGGTCATAAATGAGCTGCAAAGTTATTTTTTCACTATTGTTACTTGTCACTGAACAAGTAGTTAATAAATGAGGATTACCTGTACATGATTTCTTTAGTATTAGACTATCTACTTTAAAGTTTAGGGATAAAGCTGTTGCCTTAATGGCATTTAGTGTGCAACTTTAGTCCGCTCAGTGATAGGAACAAAACAAGTTGGATTCCATCAGGTATGGGCAAAAAAGAACAAACTGACTGATAACATTCCAGGATTTTAACATTGATGAAGAGTCTAGTACAAAAATCAAAATTCTGCTGTTACTTAAAGCAGCCCAGTGATAAACCATTATTACTGTGTACTGTGTGCTGTGTACAAACCTGGCTCTTATGAATAGAAATGGCCCAGGCAAGCTTCAGGGGCAGCTGATGGCGACTCAGGTATGTGCCTGCTGGCCCTTTAAAAACCCATCTTTCCAAGCCAATAATATTAGTCACACCACAAAGGAATCTCACTTTGGGCAGGCCTGTAGCAACAAACACAAGTCTACAGTTATTATTCAGTACTTCGATAATATCACTACTGCTGATTACAGGTAATTCTCAATTTACAATCATAATTTAGCCCGAAATTATGGTCATAGGCTCTGGATGTTTTTAGGGGGACACACCATATGACCATGCCTCATTTTATTACCTATTTTGCAGTGGTTTAGCAAACACTAAAGTAAAATGAACTTTCATGGTCATTAAATGAAGCCATTGCTTTCTGCCAGAAAACAAGTAAATGGCAATTTCCAGCAAAAGCAAATGCCAAAAAATGCTGTCATGGGGGAACACTGCAAAGGGCCATAAATAAATCTAGTTGCCAAGTGCCTTAACTGCAATCACGTGACACAAAGTGGGGTGGGGCAGGGGCAGCCATCATAACTTTGTAACCAGATAATCAGTATCAAATGGTTGCTATGTGTAATCAGTTTAAGTTGAGGGTTACCTGTATAGGTAATATTGTTTGTGTTGTTTGTTTATTAGTTTTGTATGCCGCCCACTCCCGAAGGACTCCGGGCGGCTCACAATAAACAGGGAAAGGGAAATAAATAAGACAATACACAGAATTTAAAAATGCACAACATTCACAATTGAGGCGAGGCTGGATATTTCAACAGCCCCCAGCCTGTCGGAACAGCCAGGACTTGGTAGCTTTATGGAAGGCCGGGAGGGTAGTAAGGATCCGGATCTCCACAGGGAGCTCATTCCAGAGGGCCGACGCAGCAACAGAGAAGGCTCTCCCCCGGGGGGTTGCCAGCCGACATTGGCTGGCCGATGGAACCCAGAGAAGGCCAAACCTGTGAGATCGAATCGGTCTTTGGGAGGTAATTGGCAGGAGGCGGTCTCTCAGGTACCCAGGTCCGATGCCATGCAGGGCTTTATAAGTAACGACTAGCACCTTGAAGCATGTCCGGAGACCAATGGGTAGCCAGTGCAGCTCGTGGAGGATAGGTGTAACGTGGGTGTACCTGGGTGCACCCACAATCGCTCGCGTGGCTGCATTCTGGACTAGCTGAAGTCTTTGAACACTTTTCAAGGGCAGCCCCATGTAGAGCGCGTTACAGTAATCCAGTCTTGAGGTGACGAGGGCGTGAGTGACTATCTGAAGTGCCTCCCGGTCCAGGTAGGGTCACAATTGGTGCACCAGGTGAACCTGGGCAAAGACTCCCCTGGTTACAGCCGACAAATGGTGATCTAAAGTCAGCTGTGGGTCCAGGAGGACTCCCAAATTGCGAACCCTCTCTGAGGGGCGTATAATTTCACCCCCCAGCCTGAGAGATGGAATAGTTTGCCAATCTTTGGGAGGGAACATCAATAACCATTCAGTCTTGTCAGGATTGAGCGCAAGCTTGTTCGTTCCCATCCAGACCCTAACAGCCTCCAGGCACTGGCACATCACTTCTACCGCTTCACTGAGTTGGCAAGGGGCGGACAGATACAATTGTGTATCATCCGCGTATTGATGGTAGTTAATCCCGTGCCACCGTATGATCTCACCCAGCGGCTTCATGTAGATGTTAAATAGGAGGGGGGACAAGACCGAGCCTTGCGGCACCCCATAATTTAGGGGCTTAGGGGTCGACCTCTGCCCCTCAACCAACACCGATTGCGACCTGTCCAAGAGGTAAGAGGAGAACCACCGAAGAACGGTGCCTCCCACCTCCCGCAACTGTCGTAGAAGGATACCATGGTCGATGATATCGAAGGCCGCTGAGAGGTCAAGGAGCACCAGGATAGAGGACTGACCCCTATCCCTGGCTCACCAGAGATCATCGATCAGCGCAACCAGAGCAGTTTCCGTGCTGTAACCAGGCCTGAAACCCGACTGAAAGGGATCCAAATAATCGGTTTCATCCAAGGACCGTCGGAGTTGAGGGGCCATCACTTTCTCAACAACCTTCCCTACAAAGGGAAGGTTGGAGACTGGATGATAGTTGCTCAAGATGGCTGGGTCCAAAGACGGTTTCTTCAGGAGGGGTCTCACCACCGCATCCTTTAGGAGGAGCGGGAAGGATCTGCCAAACTACCCTACATCACAGTATTTTCCTACATTTTCTCATTTTATATAGAATGATTTGTCAACTGCCTGTGAAGCAAAAATAGAACTGCTTCTGCAAAGAAGTTGTGACACAGAGCAGAGAAAGCTAAGATTATAGGAAAACATTTCTAAAGGAACAATGCACAAAATTACATTAGAAAATGAAATCTAGACTTGATCTGTAGCAATGAAGTTTGTTAGAACTGAACTAGATTATTTGGGACAAAGGGAAAAAACCAGCACTTTCAAACAAGTTTGACAATGGAAGAGGGATAGAAGTTTTTCTGTATACAACATAACTTTTTTGATGGCTTTCCTTGCTATTTTTTATTAATATCAATACCAGTATTGCATTACAATCTTAACAGTTGAATGTATTTTCTTCATTGCAAAAAGAAACTGCACCACATGACTACTACTCATGAGGAGATCATCCAAGGTGTGCCTGTCAGAAACCAACCTTTTCCTTCAGTTTCAAATCCAATCACAACTCCACGAGCCCCATTCACCAGACCTTGAGAAACATCAAGATTCTTTGTAAGCATCACCTATCGAAAAAGAAAAGTCACAGGAATGCTTTAGTGGATTTTTCCATAGCACCTTCTAAAGTAGATTTATTTCCACTGCATGCTAACGAAACCACCCTCCACACATTTGTGGGTAAGGGAATCATCCAGAGAAGTGCTTAGCAATTGGGATACAGGCGTTAAAATCAAGGAGCCTGTTGTGGTCCTCAGGCAGCCTGTGGAGCTGGCAGCAGAGTCAGACAGTGGGGAAGTTGGGGAGGAACATGGGCCAGTCCTGGAGTCTGGGGATGGCTCAGACGAGGGCTCTGTGTCAGAGGCAGAGAGGGGGCCAGGGCCATCTGGTAGTTATGTGCTGCCTCCGGAGCCTGACATCAGTGAGGCAGAAGAACAGTGTGAGCTTGTCTCCACTGTGCGCATGCAGAGCTTCCAGAAGGCAAGAATAATTAAGACAAAAAGGGCAACTCAGGAGTAATGCTTGATGATGATTGCCCCCCCCCCCCCATAAGACATAAAAGAGGGGCAAACAGACTTGAGCCTTTGCAGGAAGCAACTTCGTTCATTCTGGTTGGGTCAAACTCTATGAAGCTCGGTTTGATTCTGTGTTCCATTTGGCCTTGCAAAGCTAATTGGCAATTAGGTCTTTGGCAACATTTCAAGGGAGATAGAGGTGGGTGCTTATCAGCATTACCCTGAAGGACTGTGGCATTCATCTGTCGGACTCTTTACAGTCTGTTGGTGAATTATTAAGGGCTGTGAATGAACATAATTCACAGCGGTTTAAATAAAGAGGGTTTTTGGGACTAAGCATGTGATTTCTGCTTTATCAGGAAGCCCAGATCAGAACAGAGACTCTAGCATTTGGCAAGATCTGATTCAAGGTATGAATGCATTGTGAAGAAAGAGAGGGATCTCAGAAGCAGCCACAACACCTCTGTTCCAAGCAGTGCTGTTTTGTTTGTTTACCTGGGCACCTTCCTTGAGTTCAATTATGCTCTTCACAGGACATTGTGCATCAAGAGTCTTTGCCAACATAGGATCACTGTCAACAGCCTTGAAAGACCTTGGCTGTCCTGGAAAAGAAGTAACATTTTATTCACTAGATCTCTGATTGCAGTGTTGCAAACTTATATCCTTTCAGACATCCTGCAACATTAAGCTTGTTAACATTTTTTTTTCCAAATAAATAAATAGGAATGGAAACTGGCATGCTTTAAACTAAAGCTCTAGTCTCTAGAAAAAAAAAGACCTTTAAAGTATTTGAAGAAATAACATGGTAGGTGGCTACTGGGCATGGACTTGTAAATAAGTGCAATTGCTATAAAAGTAGTAGCAGGGAGGGAGGGAGGATAGGGAAATAAGAGAAAAGTAAAGTTTTCGCAAGCAACATACCTACCTGGTTAATTTCTGAGAAATGGAGGTTCTGTAACTCATATCAAAAATTATGTGAGTAGACAACCCAATATTGCATTTAGTTTATGAAGCTACCCCAAAGTATGTTCTCAAATTTCCAAATTTATCCAATTGGTGCAAATGAGCAGGGTACTTCTGGTAAGTTTACGGTAGTTTGAAAACATAGCTTCCTAAATAATGTTCCTGCAACCAACCACAAGCCTCTCAGTTTATCCATCTACAATCATAAATATTTTGAACATCAAGAGTTCACAGGATTCCCAAAGTACAACAATCTTATAACCTTTACAATTGGTAGAACAGTATATCACATTTTGCCATTTCATTCAAAACAAAAATGATATGGAATAATTCCTATTATTGGTTCTAAGTTTTTACAACTTGCATCAGTAGTCATCTTTCTCAAAGGCAAAGAAAGAGCTACTTACTGTACCTCACTAGGAGTCGCTGCATGATTCTTACCAGCTAATTGCTGCAGCTGCATGATATTTGTGAACTCTACATCATCCTTGTGAGTACATAACCGTGTAGCCAATATTCCATTTCTCTCCACTTTTTGCATTACTGTTTGAGTCAGCAGTCTGGTGACTTCCTCTGTACATCTGTCAGATTGCAGTAGAGGTATTTAAAATTACAAGAGCTAAGACCTGTAACAGAGATCCATGGACGTAGATACTGGCAACTACGCGGAGGAGAGCCTTCTCGGTGGCAGCTCCGACCCTATGGAACGATCTCCCCGTGGAGATTCGTA